GAATGATCTATAATCCAGACCTCAAAGCTGAAAACTTTTTGCGCATGCGCCGCGTTGACACATGCGCATAGGCGTTTACGTGTGCGCGTAAGACCTTTACGACTGCATATATGCATGTGCGCAAACGCAGAATACATTTTCGCGTGCGCGTTTAATGTATAACGGACGGTATAAGCTAAAATTATCTAATTATCTATTTCAGTTAATGTTGATGATTGCGTTGTACCTTAATCTTCTAATTGGATCCGGCTCATTATTTTTTGCAGACTGTAAGAGCAATTTTATAAAAGTAAACTTGAACTTTCGATTATGTCGAACAGAATTTCCGATGCTGGAGCTCCCAAAGGATCTACAAAACGAAAGTATGTTTCGATGTCCATCAAACAAAAAGTGGAATTGCTGCAAAAAATGGATAAAGACATGAAGAAAGTGACAGAGAGAAAAAATTTCGATTGACAAGTTAGTCGGTATTCTCGGCACAGCAATTACAGGACTTGAACAGCGGAACTTTGTAACTGAACAAGAAATTATGTCTGTTTATAGAATTAAAGAGAAAGTATTATCACATAAAACGAAGCAACTTAAATTGAAAGAAATGCTTAATAAAGTAAACAAATAAATATTAAGCTTTTTTTTTTTTTTTTTTGTAAATTTTGATATCCTTTAGATCATAATTGTTCTTTACTTCATAAATTACGATTTCATATTTTAAATTTTAGAATTTCTTCATGCGATCTTACGAGATTTAAACTGATGATCTATAATCTGGAAAAATCGATAATCTGGAATCGTCAAAGTCCCGACGAGTCTGGATTAATGACTTTTGACTGTATTATCTTACTTCAAGTCCCCCGTAAAACATTTTTTCCATAATTTACATTCAAGTTACTTTAAAGCACAATTTTCGGAATTAAACTTCCTACAAATGGGTTCTCTCTTTTTTGATACTTCTACTAAATTTATATTAGGAGATAATATAATCAATGTTTCTTGAGTAAAATATATATAGTCATATATTAAAAGAAAAAGGTAATTAAGTTTTCATGTGATTTTAAAGAAAGGTATATCAGGGGAAACATACATACGTAATTATGATTAAAAATAAATGGTAGTGTGTATTTGGGCTTTACATCCGAGTCTGTTACTGTAATTTCAGATTGCATATTGTATTGAATTATCTGCACTGCAATAAGGTATACAGTCAAAAGTCATTAATCCGGACTCGTCGGGACTTCGGCGATTTTGGATTATCGATTTTTCCGGATTATAGGTCATCAGTTTAAATCTCATAAGATGGCATGCAGAAATTCTAAAATTTAAAATATGAAATCGTAATTTATGAAGTAAAGAACAATTATGATCTAAAGGATATCAAAATTTACAAAAAAAAAAAAAAAAAGCTAATATTTATTTGTTTACTTATTAAGCATTTCTTCAATTTAAGTTGCTTCGTTTTATGTGATAATTTCTCTTTAATTCTATAAACAGACATAATTCTTGTTCAGTTACAAAGTTCCGTGTTCAAGTCCTGTAATTGCTGTGCCCGAGAAATACCGACTAACTTGTCAATCGAAATTTTTTCTCTCTGTCACTTTCTTCATGTCTTTATCCATTTTTTGCAGCAATTCCACTTTTTGTTTGATGGACATCGAAACATACTTTCGTTTTGTAGATCCTTTGGGAGCTCCAGCATCGGAAATTCTGTTCGACATAATCGAAAGTTCAAGTTTACTTTTATAAAATTGCTCTTACAGTCTGCAAAAAATAATAAGCAGCATCCAATTCGAAGATTAAGGAACAACGCAATCATCAACATTAACTGAAATAGATAATTAGATAATTTTAGCTTATACCGTCCGTTATACATTAAACGCGCACGCGAAAACGTATTCTGCACTTGCGCACACACATGTGTGCAGTCGTAAATGTCTTACACGCACGCATAAACACCTATGCGCATGTGTCAAAGCAGCGTATGCGCAGAAAGTTTTTAGCTTTGAGGTCCGGATTATGGGTGTCCGAATTAACGACTTTTTACTGTATAAATGTCAACAAAACTATTATTCTTGGATATATAAGAAAAGAAATTAGGAATATTGAAATTATGAGCATTAAACAATAATGTATTAATTATTGTTTGAATACTGTTATATATGAATGTACTACTTTAATTAGTAATTTAAAAATTTTGTTTCATGGAATACTAGACAAATCTGAAGAAATTGTTTGCTTCTATTTTTAAGTTATAATATTGTACTCTTTCAAAGTTTTATTTAATGTTAATTATTTTCAATAACTAATATCGGAATCATTTCCCAGAAAATTAAATGAGTGCTGAAAAAACTGTTTAGATGAAACAAATTCTGCACCTTGAGGCATATATATCTGTGAATTCTGCCTTACTTTAGTTACATTGCTTAAACAACAGCTGTTTCTGTGAAGGATCTTTCTGATACTTAGTACGTTTTACAGTATAAATTGATTTATAAAAATTCACTTTCCTCAAATTTTATTAAACGTGGATAAAAGTCCTGGAAAGATTAAATCCAATGCTGGCCACAAAAGCTAAAATTCTCAACTGATTTCTGAATGTCAGTCACTCTTTAGATGGTATGAATAAAGATGGTAAGCATTATTGATTGTGGGTTTCCATTGAAATCCGAATGGTCATTAACACTGAAGTGCAAGCTGGGAAAAATTAGGTGTATTGTAATTTAGCCCTGGGAAATAAACAAATTTAGCCCTGGGAAACAGAAAATTGTTTTGTGCCAGCTCAGTTTTTTACAAACTGGCTTTTGGCATAGTAATTCGAAGATAAATTACTGCTAGGGACACTTTCTCACAAACTTTTAGCCTGTCTCTGCAATGGCCCATTGAGAAATTAAATAAAAACATAAGAAATTTAAAGAACTCTCTTTAAAAACACGCAAAAAAAAAAAAAAAAAAAAAAAAAAAAAAAAAATTGAGAATGAAGATCAGTGTATTCTTTCATAAATTTCTTGATATAGACATCTAATCTGATTTAAAATAAGCAATTAAGTTAAGGAAATTATTTCATTCTCCCCCCTTTTTCTTTTTCTGTGTGTGTGTGAGTGAGTGCATGTTTGCTTTGTTGTGATTGATCAGTTCTTTTATTAGACTGGTATAAAAGTTAACTGACCTTAGCAAGTAGTTTGCTAGGGTTTATCTCCCTCAGTAAAATGAAAACAATCGCTACATCGATGAATCCATTTTAAAATTTAGGGAAGCTCCTTCTCTGGGAGCACTGAGGAAGGGGAAAGTTACATGCTCAAAAACTCGGGAGGTAGGAAATGTAGTAAATAAATAAATAAAAATAATGAATGAAAAATAAATAAAATCAATATTCTGATATATAATTAAAACATTATAGTTAACATAGAAAGCAGAGATATCTATTTTAGACTTATTAAAACTTATAACTTAAAACTTATAGAACAGATATCTTTTTTAGATGTAAAAAAAAAAAAAAAAAAAAAAGAAATCCTCATATACTCTATTGTAATTACACTCATATGGATATTTCTCGCATTTGCAATCATCATAGTGAGTTTTTTGTATGTGTGCATAAGCTTTTGTCTTGTACACTTTCATCAAGTGAACTTTTGGTAAAAGTTCACAATTGGGTGCCTTTTGTTTATTGGCAATTCTTTTTTGACGCCAAGATCGGCGCCAGGAAGTCACTATTTCAAAATGGCCGCTACACAAAACCAAAATAAGAAGTCGAAGAATTGCATAAGATCTGTGTCCATGTACACATCGATCTGTTTTTACTTAAAAAAACGTCCTAAAGAAAACGGGCATTGCCCACTACACTAAAGCTGAACTTTTTATCAGGGAACTAGTGTTTTTAATTTTCTATCGTTTTAGTTACACTAAGGATGGTATAACTATAATTTTTGTCATATTTGCTGCAGCCTGTTTATTGTTAACCGTAATACCTCTTGAGTATTGAGATCTTTTCAACAGTAAATGGCAGAGCATTTTAAAATATACTGCCTGAGGAACAGATCAGATGTTGCAAAAACCAGCGGCCTAGGAGTATATAGTGATTGATTCAACTCTGCGGTTATTATTTTTTCAAAAAACCAAGCTATGTGTGTATATATATATATATTAAGACGAAAAATCTGAAAGCAAGCTATTTATTTTAATTTTGAAATAGCCTCTTTATTTTCTCTTTTAATTTGAATACTTCCACTTTTTGCCCTAAAATTAATAACTATATAATATATCAATATAAACTGCATCATTTGATAATTAATCTGTATCATGTAATATCATGTAATCCTGCAATTCAGGTACCTTATAGCCAGTCAAACTGAAACATTTTGGACTCTATGCTATTTCATGCATCCCTCTAAACGCATCTTTTTTTCGACACTTCTTTGCTTATGCAGTATGCCACTGCTTGCCATCGTCAAAAAATATTTCACAGAACTATTAATATCGAGGCAAAAAATTCTTTAAGATTAAGGTGCTGTAGTGCCCATTTTATTTATGTTCTTTCAATGGGGGGCTAGCAAAGAAATAAGACGTATGTGGTTGCACTCAAAATTGATAGAATTACTCAAATTGTACATCACACAAAGTTTTTTTTAAATGGTTGACTGAAATCAAAACTTAAGTTTTTTGGTGACCTTAGTACCACATTTGATGATATTTCTCTGTCACTTGGCAATATTTTTAATTTATTGACCTTATTTGGCAATTTATATTTTAAAAATGTGTTCTAAAATAGTGTAATTCTACTAACTGAATTTTGGATTACAATAAGCGATCTATTTTTCATGGTTTCGTACACAAACAGGCATCCAGCTGATAACATTTACCATAATCACAGTTAGTGGTGTCTGCTGTATTATATTATAGTAGACATAAAACCTGAAGTACTTTTTTTAATTATATTTTTTAACTTTGTTTTCTTAAATATATGAAAATTATCAGTTTAGAGTTTAACAATATACTTTTTCTTTAAACAGCCTGTTATTGTTGCTGATGTTGGCAAGAATTTAGATCCATCTTTGTGGACTCCCGAGAGCTTTATAAAAGAATTTGGAGATGTAAAAAGCGATTTTTTAAATTGTTTGGGTGGAACGTTGCTGCAGAATCAACCAATGAAAAAATTCTGGGAAGGTTTTGAAAATTTTAACAGTAAGCACTTTACACTTTGAACACATCTGTATTTCTGTTAATTTTGAAAGTCACTGTTAAGGGTTTTTGCTAAATGTTTTTTACGTGTGAAGAAAAGTCTGATATGTTAACAATTTGTTTTTTAATTGTAGCTGTGCGTGTTATTTGTAGTTTTCAGTTCATTCTACCCTGAAGTAAATCTCTTAGTTACCTCCTTGTAACTCCAGAGGAAATTGAAAAACCTGCCTGTGTGTGTAAAACTAGAACTCTTTATTTGAGTATAGATTAATGTTAAGAAGTGGTTGAGCAAGATTAAGTGAAATGTCATAAACTAAATATTGCTTGTTATAGCTAAATATAGTGTTTCTCAAAACCCGACCACCATTATGTATAATTACTAACATCTCCATGTACAAGTACAGTAATAAAATATTAATATACTCAAAAATGGTGTACACTGGTAATTCTACGCATTTAATTAAAAAAAAATATACACACATTTAATGGGAACCTTGAGACTGTTCGGCAGAATGCGGTAATTTAAAATTCAGATTAGAAGATGACTCGCAAGTCTTAACATACCCTCAAAAATCTATTCCTGTACATATTTTTTAATTAAGTGTAGGAAAAGAACTAAACTGTGCTCTGAATGGTAGCAGGATAGTACTTGCCTTATTGAATAGTTCAGGATATTCTTTCATACGAGTCCAAAAAAGGATGAGGGATTTATTTTCAAACTGGAACTTCAGTGACAAGAGCTTTTCATCTTTTCTGTGATGCTCAATCTATCAGTGTCTACCTTAATTCAGTCTGATTTTAAAGATAAATAATTTTGAAAATCATTCGGTTCCAACTTCACTGCAAAACTGTCTTTTTCAAAATTGAAATGTTCCATGACACAACTCATCAGCATCAATCTCTATAAAAGGTGATTTGACAGTGCAGTGCCATTGAAATGCTTTTGAAATCTTGGAAGCATTTTTTGAATTGTCTTCTCAAATCTGAAAGAATTTTAACAGTTTGCTAATTCAGAAGTCAAACAACAAAAATCCGCATTATATTTTCAAATTTTGATTTTTGTTGTTTGACTTCTGAATTTGTATTTGTTCGGCATGTTATTTTGTCTTAATATTGTTTGCTGTTGTAAGGAGGCTGTAAGGTAATTATATATATTAGCCTCCTTACAACAGCAATATATATAAGGTAATTATATATATTGCTGTTGTAAGGTAATATCAAGGGTTTATTTCTAATATGCAAAAAGTTTGTATTCAGCTTGGATGAGATATTCTCCACCGCTCTAGCTTTTTGAGATTTAAGCAACATTTGAAATTGTTCCACCATTGCCTTTAATCCTTACACTGAAGCTGAAAGTTAGGGCTGTTAAGCTTTTCAGCGATGTGGAGGAGGACCTGCAGACAAATAAAATCTTCTAATTCAGAAAAGGATCCACCTCATTTCTTAAAAAATTCTAAGGCAGGAAGCAACTCTTTGAGATGTAAAACTTTGTGTCTACTAAAATAATATATATATGCTTCTGTAACTGACAGTGTAGTTCAGCAGTCAGTGCTCTAAACAAATGTCTCTGAAGTATGTGCGCTTTCATTTTGCATACTATTTTATGACTGTATTGACATTATTCATACTTAAAAACTTTGCACGTGATGACTGCATTCTGCTATTGTGTTCTATTGTGCATTATACATTGATGAGACAGAAATTTAGGAAAGCTGTTGTTTTTGCAACACAAAGCTATGAATCCATTCTATTCACCTAGCATCTGTTCTTTCACTCTTTGGCTCTGCATAGTCATGGAAGGCTCTACATAGTCATGCAAACCTTTCTGAAGCATGATCCTGTAACCTCTGCAAATAATATAAAATCTTTATATCTACAACTTTATGTAGACAGCTAATGGAAATGGTAAAAACAATGATTAGAACAATAAGGCTTAAAAAGATTCTTAAAAAGTATTAAATAATTTTATTTAAAAATCTAGCAATGAAATCTAGTAAGTTCTTTATGGCAAATAGTGACAAGGTGGAAAACCTGTCAAGTGATGCTAATTCAGAAACTATGGGAGTAAGTGTAAAAGATTCCTTCTTTTTGTACCAAGTGGCACACAGCCAGAACATAGGTGTGACAAGTCTGGGGAGCAATCAGCTGGGACTGCCATTCACCATTAGTCTTGCTGCCAGGTACGCTGACTGCTCGCAGGTGTATTGACAACACTTTGAAGCTTAATCATCTGTCTATGCTAGCAGGTCATCCAGGTCCTTTTTTCCAGCAGAACAGTGCTGGGCCACCTACAGCATAACTTTGCCAACAATGTCTTGAACATGTTAATGTCCTCGACTGGTCTGCCAGGTCTCTAGATCTGTCACCTATTGAAAGTATTTGGGACATGTTAGGCCAGCAAATTCAACCATATACAAATACATCGCTGACCAGTTCCTCCATTTGTGGCACTTCGTACAGCAGAAGGATATTGGCAACTTATAGATTCCATGCCCGAGTATCAGCTGCCGGGGATGGCCTTTACCACTTACTGTTTTTCATTCTTTGTATAGCTATTCATAAATAAAGTGCATTTATCACCCTAGATTTTAATCATTTTTATATACTCGAATACTATACTACTGCCGAGTTTTGAAGTTGTGGCTCAGTTCTTCCTGTGTGCATGTATTTTTTTTGAAACAGTGTGTGTTTTTCTTGTGTGCAGAGATGTTCTTTCAAAACATCTGTTATTTCTTCATTTTATGAGTTGGCTAGTTTATGTTTAAATTTTTCTGAGATTATAAAAAGCCTAACTATGTTACTGATGGTATTTTTTAGCAACAGATCATACTGTGATCACTTGACAATTTGCAGTTATCTTTCAAGACTGTAGAATGTGCCTGCTTCTTTTTGTTGTTACAGAACAATTATGCATACTTCCACTCAACTCGTGCAACAATAAATTCACTGACCAGAATTTAAAATAATTTCCTTGTCTTTTTTACATTCACTGGATCTTCAATATAGTAATTATCACTTAGACACCTAAAGAAGGCACTTAACCAGTAAGCAGTTCAGCACAGATGATGATACTAGAAAACTGGTGAATAGCTGGCTCTACATTCACTCATAGTTTTCATCTAGTTGAATCCTGCGCTGGTGCTTCTGCATTGAATTTAGTGGAATTTTTATCAAGAAGTAGTGAATTACTTTAATTTGTTTTATTAATAAATAAAAATGATTACTTAAAAAGTTACTTATTTTATTATGATGATTAGTATATTTTTCAGTGCAATCTGTTAATTATGTTTAATGTTTATATCATGTATCATGTTGTGTGCTATGTTCCACATAGAACGAATGAAGAATGAAGATGGTGAAGCTTTGGTTCTGAAGTTAATAGATTGGCCTCCTAATGAAGAGTTTTCTGAAGTTATGCCTTCTAGATACGATGATTTGATGAAAATTCTTCCACTTCCTCAATATACTGGTCGAGAAGGAGTACTTAATATGGCAAGTCGTCTTCCTGAAAGTTTTGTCCAGCCTGATTTAGGTCCTAGAATGTACAGTGCATATGGTGAGTTATTTATAGCATTCAGAGTATTATTGTTTAAGATTTACATTTGCAGCAGAAAAATTCTTTTGCAAGTGAAATGTTTTGAAACTTTTCATGATAGAGAAATCTTGAATAAGTTCTGTAAATTTTATAGTACAATATTTTCCTATAAATTCCTTCGTGTACTAAAATTATGGTGATTTGATAATTGAATTACAATAATTTACTGGATCACTGTGTGTGTAATGGAGAGATAACTTTTTATTAAACCCTGCTAAACAGAGTTATAAATCAAACCACTAGGACCTGAACCAGATAAACTAACAACATTGTGACAATTTATGTTATCTGCTCCAAAAGTAAAGGAACTGTCACGTTCTTTTTTGTGAAAGCATCATTTGATCTTATTGATGAAATGCAAAATTCTGTTATATAGTCTGCCTTGTTTTTATTCAAATTTAGAATTTTAATCATGCATTAATACAAGTCATACAAAATAATGTACTTTTTTTAATAAGCATTTCCAGTAGCATAATGATTCTCATTATAAATCTGGAAATTAGAAGACATTTGTTTGCTTTTTGACAAAGTAGAATTTCAGATATTATATTATTACTTTTTATAAAAAATCATAAATATTTATTTAGTTGAGTATGCCATGTAATTAGTATAGTTATTTACCATTCTGTAAAAATGTCCTTGATAGGTATAAGTTCCTCTCTTGGTAAAGGCTCCACAAATCTCCATCTTGATGTCAGTGATGCTGTAAATATTCTAGTATATGTTGCTACTGGTCGTGATGGGAAGGAAGAAAATACTGCCGGTAAAGAAATAGATTTTACTGAATTATTTTTGAACATAGCTTATTTGATGCTTAAATTAACTCTGATATGCAGTTAAATTTTTTTAAACATTATGTAAATTATACAGATTTCACTAAAATTTCTGTGTATAGTACTTGAAAAGAAGAGAAATTGCAACTTAATACGTTTAGAAAATTGAAATGTTCTTTCATGTGCACAATTTCAGGAAGCAGTGTAAAAGATTGTGAAACAGTAAGAGACTAAAAATTGAAATTAGAAATTCATGCTTATCTTTTATCAGTATTAAAAAAATGTATCTTTAAAAGCATTGCAATATATATCAAAGTACTTTGCATTGTTCACAATGCCAGGCAGTTTTACTTCAAATATTGTGTTTACTATATGCAGTGTTGTTTCTCAGCAGTTGTCGGAATATTTCTTAAAAGTATTTCTAATTTTAAGCCTTTAATCTAATTTGTGAACAACATGAAGAAAGCTATAAGTTTTGTAATGAAACTATGATAGGCATTGCAGGTAAGGTGTTGCCCAAAGATGCATAATTATTTATGGCATTCTAATGGCTCCACCAGTGGCCAAGCACCATTCAGTAAAACCACTGAATACAGAAAGTTCAATCCTATATTTGGGCTGACTAGCTGCATCGTTGGTTTTTCTAGTTTTTCTCTGTGTATAATGTGATTATGAGCAAGTTTCTTTTCTAAAGTCCTCCACGAAGACTCCCTCTCCTTAGCTCTAGTGTTCTCTGTCATATTCAAATAAGCCTAACCTAAGTAACCGCAGCGTTTCAAGTTTCTACTGTTATAACACTTCGTGCACTGCTTAAAGGTCTGTCATCATCACTTTGAAAATACACTGCTTAAAAGGCATAAAATAACCTTATAACTGATAACTTTTTTTATCAAAATAAAAAAGGTTTAAAAAAAATTATAATGTTGAAAAAGAAAATATGCATCGAAAACTATACATTTAGATAAGGCGGGAAAAGCGAGCTGCAGCATTTCTTCTGTAGGATGAGATTAAAAACAACTGACATATGTTTTGTAATCATCAAATACAATGTCTTGGCAGAATTACTTCGTTAAATCGGTAGCCTGGGCCATCGGTCATTTAGAGGCATGTAAAATGTAATCTGTTGTATAAAAGCATTGGTTGTTTCTCAAAATCTTATTTCCAGAGTATGGAATCTGGTTTTTGGAAACTGGAAATGTTCGCTGAAGATCGGGATGAGGTACTATGTCTGCGACAATGTAAAATGAGAATCGGTATACAACACCTATGAACACTTTTCTTGCAACAGCTCCTTCAGATGGCTTCTGGTACCAGTTTCGACTCGAACTGTTCGAAACTGACTCTACCATGTGCGTTTGTGTTTTTTTGACACTGGACTGTCTGCAGAAGATAAGCACAAGAGCATCTCGGATGAGTATGAGATGAGTGGAGCAATGTGATATTCACAGACAAGTCCTGCTTTAGTGTATAACATGTCAGTAGGTGGATTTCTTATCTGGAGAGAACTTGTTACACAGAATACTCTTGCATTTGTGCAACAAAGTGTTCAATTTGGCAGAATAGGAGTGATGGTCTGGGTGTGTATTTCTATCATTGGCCGCACTGACCTACACATTATCAAAAACCAGAGCTGAAACCACATTGATGTTTCAATTAACGGCTCAGCAAATTTTTTTGGTGATAAGTTCCTTTATGTTAAATGTTTCTTTGATCTCGCAATTCAAACTATCTTTTTCTAAATCCCATATTAATCCAAATACCGGTACAACTTTTGACATGTTCTCTATATCATCCATCATTTTGATAGGAAAATTCGATCACCAGCATTTTAAGTTGAAATGCCCTGAAGCCAAAATCAACTTGAGTCCAAAAATGGCTTGGTAAACTTTCAAGTAACGTCGATTATTGCAATCATGGAAATCCGAAAAAAATCTTTTCTGCTATAAGAGTTGCCCAAATGAAAAGTGGACAAGTTGAAGAAAAATAATACCTCTATTGTAAATAAAAAGAAGTCGACATGGGCGTTGAAACACAGGTCCCAGCATTGCGGCAGCAGCACATTGCCTTAGGAAGTCCTGCACGGCTTCCTTCACTCCATCATCCGAATGGAAACGTTTCTCCTATAAGGCTCTCTTTAAGTGGCCCAACGATGTGAAAGTCACAGGGTGACATGTCCGGACTGTACGGGGGGTGCTCCAAAACCTCCCAACAGAATTTGTTTAAGGTTCTCTGGGTTTCTTGGGAGACGTGGGCGGGCTTTGTGAGAAGGCCCAGCCGTTTGTTTTTTATTGCTTGTCGCAGTTTCGTCAGAGTACTGCAATGTTGTGCAGAATTGATAGTGCTCCCTTGGGGCAGGAAATCAATTAAAAGTGGTCCATGACAATCGAAGAAAAGTGAAAGCATCACTTTCCGTGGTGGAGGAGATGAGCTGTGTTTCCATTTCATACTCGTTTTCTTGGATTCGGGTGTGTAGTAGTGGCACCAGGTCTCATCGCCCATAACGATACGATCCAGAAATGTGGGATTCTCCTCATAACGGATCAAGTGCTGGAGACAGAAGCCCATTCGTCATTTCTGTTGATCAAGGGTCAGGTGTTTTGGTACTTATGCTGCACGCACTTTGCTGTACCCCAGATGTTTGTGGATAATGGTGTTAACCGTTCCTTTACTCGTGTTGAGTTTGTGACTGATGTCACGGGTTGTAACTCTTCGATTAGCTTGGATCATTTCATTAACGGAAGCAATGGAATCATTGTGATCACTTTGTTTGCTTGGCCTGGTCTCGGCAGATCCGACGTTTGCTGCCCTTCACGGAAACTTTTACACCATTTGTTTACACCTGTACTACCTAAACAGTGGTTGCCATACACTGTCACCATTCTTCAGTAGATGTCCGCATTACGCTCACCTTCCACAACCAGAAGCAATACTACTTCGCGTTGTTCTGATCTGAACGCATCCATGGAGAGCACAACTTTCGCACGATTTAATCTCCTACAAATAGGTTTCACGGTTAACACCTTGAGTGTGGTCCTTTCCGTTTAGCCGGCAGCGAGCTAAGCCATAAAGCTAAGCCGTATTTTTGTTTAGAATGTTTCAATACATTTCTTTAAAACAAAATTTGTTCACATTTCATTGAGACTATATTTATTTATTAACTTTAATACTGTCGGTCCAGAGGACCGACGGCAGGCAAACGAAAATTCCAGTGCCGGTCCCCAATTGCCGATGCCGGCCACATGGAAAGTTCACTGCCAGTCCCAGGCTCAACATGTTAAATGCCGTCTGAGATGCATACATCACACCGCCCTTTATATACTTGTGCAGTGGCGCTGCTATTGATGCATTCATTCTGACATTGCACGTGTCCACTTTTCATTTGGGCAACCCTTATTTTTGATTTGGTAATGGGCCTTTTTTGTTGTCGGATAACACACGCGTGTGATATTTTTGAAGACAGTTTGGGGTAATTTTTATCAGGTTATAATTTTTATCCAGTTACTGATGAGAGAGATTTGTCTAAAATCCAGGGTAGGGTTACTTCATATCTCCCTGAACTATATCGTTTTAAACTTTTTAAAAAATGTTTTTGGTGTTTTCTCCTCTAATACAATTTTTGTTTTTTTTCCTCATTAAAAATTCTCAAGGTGTCTTAATGACAAAGTGCATTGGAAACATATAAGAATAAAGAAAAAGGACAGAGAATTCAATGTTTTTGCATTTTCTTTGCCCGTTCAAGTCCGACCTAACTTGATTTCAAAGGCCTCCCCAAAATATTCAGTTCTTTCAATGAACAATTGTGATGCAGTATCTGTTCCTAACAACATATTGTCATGATTATTGTTGATAAGGATTTCCTTTTTTTCTATTGGTGTAATTAACTTTTCATCGTTGATCTTAGGTATATGGAACAAATGTTTCTCTGATCTAGTGCTTCGATTGTACACTTATCTTTCATCTAAACTAGTCAAATCTAATTAATAATGATTATGATCTTCAGATACATCTACACCACTAGATAGACCACGTTTAATTTGTTTAGTCCGCATCTTCTCTAATCTTAGCATATTAACTATGTACATGTTCTGACGTCTGGTATCTGTTAGCAAACTTAAATAACCCTTTGTCTTTCTGAGTATCCCTGTGACCAGAGTTTGTAAATAAACTTAAGAACAGTTGTAAATAAACTTAAGAACAAATTCGAAAGAACTTGATTTTCAACTTTCTGAACAGTTTTGATCATTCCGTATTTACTCTCAGAATTAATTCTATTACACATAATCATAGATTGCTTAGAGTATAAATGTCATTTTTACATAATTCAACTTTTTCCTTATTCATTTCTGTGCTTTGAGACATTTGTAACTTGAAAGGGATAAAATCGCCGCAAAAAATGCATATCATGATCATCTTGTATTTAATGCCTGTAGACGCTAAATCAGAGATAGAAAAGCTTTTGCTTCTATTTTATTGCAATTTCCATCGCAATAATTAAGAGTGTTTATTTTCAAAACTGTAAACAGCATCTGCCAGCACCCACTGTTCACTGTAGGATGATCTAAATTCTTATTTTATTATTTCCTTCCTTTCGTGCGAATCTAAACATTGAGCTATGATTAAGCATAAACTTTTGTTGTTATAATATGTCCTTCCATTACTTGTTTTGTTAATTTGTAACAAAATATCGTGGAGAAGTGATTTCAAAATGATTGAACAGAAGACGCTTGATAAATTTTCAAGAGATTTACGCAGATTTTTCTAAACATCTGAATTCAATAGAAATATTTTCAAATTTTGAATGATGTGAACATCATTTGAGACTTTTAGAGGTTTAGTGTTTAAAATGCAATTTGTATGAGTGTGAAAGAGTGCATCTGTGTTTACAAATCTTTCTAAAGATCAATTGCGGAACGATAACTAGGAGCAGTAATTGGTAATCCTTCAACTTTATTTAAAGCAGAACCACCCAAATAAACTTTCAAATAGATGAATTTGTCTATTTTATATCTAAAGAATCATTTTTATGAATGGCACACTCAAAACTGCTCCAAAAAGTAAGCCAGTTATTTGCATCTCCATAGAAGTTTGTTAAAGTAGGTAATTTAATTCAAACAGCTTTGCTACATTTTGGCTGTAAGTACTAAACTGGTTATTCACTACAGTATATTGTTGCATTTTAACTAATTGATTCTTTCAGAGGTAAAACAATTGTGCTTAATGACCTTTTGACAATATTCTTTTGATTTTTGTTTATTCAGCATCAAATTTTTCAATTTTAAAAAGAAGTTCTGATTCTGTTTTAAGATTCAATATTATGCTTTAAAATTTCTAAATTTTCTTCTAAATCATTAACTTCCGAAAGTTGATTCCAAATCTTTAAGCAAATTCATTACTGATGTTCAAAGAGCCACATACTTATTTTTTTAACTTACTTAAATTATCTTCAGACATGTCGTCAGCAGTTCGAAAATTCAAAATCAATACCTAAACAGTAATTGCATATTCTAAAATCTTTGTTATTAACCTGGCCGTCCCAACAGGGATGGGGGAAAAAAAAAAATGACATCTTACCAGAGATTTAGCGTTCCAAAATTCATGTTCATAAAAGAAAATGAAATATCTCTTACCCTATCTCCCATGCAGCAAGTGTAGCTCATACTGATCCTCTTATGAAAATTAAACATTGCTGAAAATAATTCCACACTGATGCATCTGGTAATTATTAAAGCAAATTATACATATTTTATGTTTCATTACGTTTAGATCTCGTGAAAATTAAATGTGCGATCTCCTTCACAAAAAAATTCTAGTTCTAGCTCTGCAAAATAATTCTACTTTCCTTCTAGGTATATTAGAGTTCTATTTTATTTTTTAAATAATTATTTCTAAAGTTTGCTAGATAACACAAGGAGTCCAGCTGTAACATATGGCAAACATTTGTTTTCAACTGATGTGGTCAACTGTTATACTTAATTAAAACTAAGAATATAGCATGCTTTGTTTTTAATGCTTGTAGAAAATGCCAAAAAATTCTGTGTATACATCAAAGGTAATTTTGTAAAAATGTAGTCATAAGCTAAGGGGAAAATTCACAATAATTTTATCTTTATTTAGTATTTTAAACTTTTTAACTATCTCATTATGCCGTTATTTAGTTTTAAATTTTGAAGAAAGCATATATCTGATCTGTTATATTTATCAACTTTTGATTAAAATCCAGTGGTTCAATAGGTATGATTTACTTTTTATGAGACTAGTTGATCTCTATTATCACTTCTGAATCTGAAGTACCATAAAAAATATAATATATACACTGACTACCAATAAGTATTTGGACACTTATGCAAATCACGATATCTGCGGTCCTAAGGTACGCACGCCGCGGACTCTGCCGGTATGTATCGTGTAGGAAACAGCATGGGCTCTAGTCGCATGCCAGATGCCTTGCAGTTCGGAGCTCTCTGATTTCGAGAAAGGTCTAATTATCGAGTATCGCGAATGTGGCCAATCCTTAAGGGACATATCTAGCGATCTGAAGTACCCAAAATCGACAGTGGCCTATGTGATTAAGAAATGGAAGGTGAGTGGTGATTGTCAGAATGTTCCCCGAGTCGGCAGACCAACAAAACTGGGAGATAGAGACCGACGAGTGCTGTCCAGAGAAATTTGGAAGAACCACGCCCAACCGATGGCCCTCATCCGTGAGGAGTTTCAACAGGCATCCGGGAGTATTGTTTCAAAGAATACCATCCGTAAGGAAGCACATCTGCTTGGGTTTTCATGGTCGTGCTGCTGCCCATAAGCCTTTGATCGTAAAGTCCAACCGCGTTGCTCGGTTAGGTGCAAAGCACATCGAAATTGGACTGTAGATCAGTGGAAACGGGTTCTTTGGAATGACGAATCAAGGTTCAACCTTTACCGTTCGGATGGCAGGGTCTGAGTCTGGCGTCTACCTGGAGAACGTCTCCTGCCAGAATGCATTGTGCCAACAGTCAAGTTCGGCGGAGGTGGAATTATGGTCTGGGGGTGTTTCTCCTGGTATGGGCTGGGACCCTTGGTCCCCATTCATGGTAAGCTCAACTCCGATGCCTACTGCACTATTTTGGATGACAATGTGCTTCCTACGTTGTGGCAGTTTTACGGGTTGGACCCGTTACTTTCAGGACGACAATGCCAGTTGTCGTGTTTCGACGTTAACCAAGGCTTGGTATGGCGCCAATGGAGTTTATCGAATGGACTGGCCTGCCCAGAGTCTAGACCTGAACCCTGTCGAGAACCTCTGGGACGAGTTGCATCGCCAAATTCAGGGCTGCACTACTCGTGCAAAATCAGTGAAGGAACTTCTTTGTCTTCTTCAAGCCGAGTGGAAGAAAATAGCACTAGCTGTCATACAAAGACTTGTGGAAAGTATGCCCCGGAGGGTCCACGCTGTAATTACCTCTCATGGAGGCTCTACCAACTATTGATTTTAAATAAAGTTAGTTTTCTTTTCTATCACAGATGTCCAAATACTTATTGGTAGTCAGTGTATTTTGTTAATTTTCTTTTCTATCACAGATGTCCAAATACTTATTGGTAGTCAGTGTATTTTGTTATGCACTCTGCAATTGTTGATTCTCACTTTCCTATTCCTTGTTCTGTGTTATCACTTATGCCAGACATTTGCAAAAAGAGATTGTGTTAAGTTCACGCATATTCTGTCTAAGTCTGCACTTTTCTCTTAAAAAGCCCATGTATCATGAACCTTGTGTTTTCTCTTTTAATTACTAAAATGAATTCTGTGATGAATACAGATTATTAAAATTTATTCTTCATATTATGCTTTCAGTGCATCTGTATGTTAGAAAAATGTTTGAAAAATAACATTAATTTGTACTAATTTTGTAAAAATTAAATACAAATTTAATTAAATATACATTGTACTCGTATTTGTGTAGAAACTCTAAAAGCACTTGATGAGAGTGGGTGTGATAGCCTCATGAAGAAGCGTGTTAAGGAAAAAGGCTTGAAACCTGGTGCAATTTGGCATGTCTACAATGCAAGAGATGCTGATAAAATAAGAGATTTTTTAAATAAGGTACAGAATCGGTGATTTAATTAGTTGAAAGTATGTAATTTTTAGCTTACATTTTTTTTAACATGATAACATTGATGACTAAATTTGTAGGTGTCTGAGGAACAAGGTGTTAAACTGAACCCTCATCACGATCCTATTCACAACCAAGAGTGGTATTTAGATGAAAAGCTGAGGAACAGGCTATTTAAAGAGTACTCTGTTGAAGCATACACAATTGCACAGTGTCTTGGTGATGCAATTTTCATTCCTGCAGGGTCTCCTCATCAAGTAAGTATCAGTTATATTAATTTATCTATTTACTCTCATTAAACTTAGTTAATTATATTTTGATTACTCATACTTGTTTTTTTTTTTTAGGTCTTGAATGTAAATAGCTGCATGAAAGTATCGGAAGATTTTGTTTCTCCAGAGAGTGTGGGACATAGTTTTTTCCTTACACAAGAAATTCGTAATTTATCAGATAGTTCAGTGAATAATGAAGATAAACTTCAAGTAAGTAATTGAGGGGTTTTAGAGTGTTTTAGTTGCAATATTATTTTAATATACCTTAAGATTCAAAATGAAGATACTAAAATTTTGCCACGATGGCTGGAAGATATTTGCTGTTCATTTCACAGAAGGCAGTGAATTTAAACTTGCGTACATAGTATTTAAAACGAAAAGTGCATGAAGAGCATTTTTTTTATTGCTCATGAAGGGAGACAGGGTGTGAAGTTTTTAAATTGTAAGATTTTTGTTATTTTAATTAATCCGGAATGCAGTTTACAAGTAGTATTTTAGAAAAGTTGCACCATAATAGCATAATAAAAAATATAAAAATATTAAATCAAAAATATATAACACTAAAACTGTATATCGGATATATTAAAGGGCAACAGCTTTCATTCTACCTCTTAAAATGTACATAGATAAATTACTAAGTTTTCATTTAACATTACATAGTATTGCTGTCAACAAAAATTGCTGTATCATTTTGGATATATGTCCTGCAGTATGCAAAATGTGAAAGTATGTGTCTAAATTCATAAATGTCGGTGTAGCTCACAGCAGAGGAGGGAAGACTAGTAATAATGAAGTGCGCTATAATCATTGTTATGCATTTTAAAATTTAAGGGTAACATTAAGAAAGTTTGCATAAAAAGTGCAATAAAAAATTAGGTTCCAAAAGGTGTTTTGGAATATTTTAATTTCTTTTAAACTAAATATGTGTTTCATTATAAAGACATATTTGGTTTATAAGTGATTAATGTTGGACAATCAAGTAATTTTTAGTTAAATTAAGGTCGTTTACTGGGTTTGAATATTAAAATTGACTAAGCTTTCGATTCCGATTTTAGTGTTGACTGTTATTTGAAACACTTCAGCAATTTATCCACTGAATTTAATTTATTGTTAGAATTTTATGAATTTTCTATTTTTTGTTGTCTAATTTGAGAGAAAATAAAATTATGAAGTGATATAAAATTTTGCATATGTACCATGATCGTATTTGCAAGCATCAATATCTAATTCATACATACTTTCAATGTGAAATCATCAGTATTGTATATCCATAAATGTGATCCCTTGAATGCTATTAAATTATTACTGAATAATTACTTTTGAGTTTATTTCTATAATCTTCCTGTCAGAAAATTTAAAAGAAATCAGAGTTACATAAAATATTTATTTCCAATAAATAATAAAACTATTTATTGTTGTTTTTCATATATATTTCTTTGTTGTTGTTAATCATTGTAAAAGCAAACAAATTCTTTTAAAATTAAAATTTTTCCTTCTTAACATTCTAAAGGAGCAAGTAAACAATTCGGAATATTTTTAATTGCATTAATAAATAACATAAGCTCATATTCTTTCCAAATGTTAGAATTTTACTATTTTAACTTTTTTTACACTTCAGTAATGGAAATAGCTACATGACCACCTAGTTAGGAAAATTATTCAGATAGGAGATTGAATTTGCATGATATCAAAATAGCTCCTGTTTCACATTTTGTTTGCAATTTAAAAAAAAAAGTTTTCACGGAGAAAGATAAGTCATAAGTTTCGAGCCTTATTCTGTATGTTTTAAAATGTTACTAACTAGTGCATTCTAACAGACTAGCATGATTAAGTTATAACATTGTTGTTGATTTTAAATACATAAGTATTCTTGTAATATAGTAAAATCCTTTGTCTCCAAAAAAGAAAGCAACAAACCATAATTACTTAAATCTTTAATAATGCACTTAGTTAAGGTATTTCATAGTTTTGGTTCAACTAATGTAAATCTGTGAGATATTTGAAATGTCTGCATGTAGCAAAAATAATTCTGATTTTCTTCACTGTGAGTGTACTGATTGAGGTTTTAAGTTTACTGTTGAAAAATGTATGTGTAGAGGACCCCTGTGAAATAAATTATTAAAAAATTGTAAGGATTTTAATTTCTTGTATCTGAAGTCACAATTTATCTTGTATACATGCATTTTGGATTTTTTAATTATATTAACTTTCATTTATTTTTTTATAGATTAAGAACATTATTTATCATGCAGTCAAAGATGCATTGGCACTGTTGCAGTCACACGATCCTGAAGATTCAAAGACATGAAATTATGTAAAATTTTATAAATATATTTTGCATTACAAATGAAGAATGTGATAATGACTAGTGATCAGAACCACATGTTTTTTGATCATTTGTCTCTTACATTCTGATGTCATCTCCTATGGAGATGAATTATGAAAAAAAAGGTTCCTTCCTCAGCTTTTGAAAGTGCTTGAAATGGAGCATATTTTCCTGAGTAAGAAGGAAGCATTTCAGCAATTAGAAAATCAGGTGGATAGTTGTGAGTGATAAGTTATATAAGATTTGGCCTTGGTGTTCTGTTTACCTCAGCATATGTCATTATTTAAAGCAGCCTTCAAATGTTCACTGTTTCAATGGTATTATTTGAAAAATTAATTCTACAGATAATGCCTTTTGAAACAGAAGTATTTTATACATGTTGCATGTATGACCTTGTCTGTGGGTGTGTTTTTTGTATATTTGTGCATACATATTTATACATTGTAGACGCACACACTATGCATGGTAAAAATTATATCCCTTGTTACTTCAGTTAAAGAGATATTTTTACAAAATATCGAAATTGTTGAAACTTCAGTTGCAGAATCTAATTATGTTAAGCCTAACATATTTGACGAAATTTCAGAATTGTCCAGAACTCTGCATTTTTTGTTTGAAAGGTGCTTAGTATGAAATGTGTTATATCATCTTAAAAAATTTAGGATAAAAAATGGACATTTGTGTTATTAGTAAATTCGTTGTTGTAAAATATAAAAACTTCAAACAATATTTGTTTTGGGGCCATATTGTTTTGATTAGTTCTGGAAAAGTATATGTGGATTAGTGTTACTAAAGTGCAATCATTTATTGTGAGGCACCTGGTAGATGAATTCATACAGGTGTTTTGTATCATTAGATTGCAGATTAATGGTAAAATGGATTCCAGCTAGATTTGTTTGCATCTATTAATGCATTAATTTTGTGCAAAAATGACTATTTCTCATTAGCATCATTTTAGTTCATTGTGTATATATTTTATAGCGATATTTTTATAATGGAAATGTTTTCTGTACAAATATGTGTATGTCCTGACTTATACTATATTATATATATATATATTTATATATATATATATATATATAGTAGTGCTGATTCATATTAAAGTGCCCATGTTGATAACTGGTGTAAAGTTGTCCTTCATTTAAATATATAAGCCATTATTTCTGTAGAATATGAAGTTGCATTAAATAAGGCCATGTCAAAGCAGTTGTTAAAGGGAGTAAGATGGTTTCAACAATAAAAAAAAGTGTCAGTTTTCTTAAATATTTTTTAAGTAAAACTCATGCATAATTAAAAATACTTCATTTAGAGAAAACTGCACATTATTATTATATTAAAAATTTAATTGATGTTCCTGATAAACATATTTTTGAAAGAACTCTTTAAAAAGTATTGTAATGATAGATTTCAGATACATGGTTGCACAGGTATGTATAAAAATTTTCTTCATGTTCAAATTTGTATTCAGAAATTCAAGTGAACCTTTTTTCATTCTAACATATATATTATAAAAAATTTTAAAAAATGGAGTTTAAGAAAATAAGTTATTTTATTAGTAAAGTTCTTGGATATTTTAATAGGTCAATTCAAATACATTCAGGTAATGATAGTGCAATAAAATTTCATGTTTTGTTTGCCGTATGGCATTTTATGGAAATGTACTTAAATATTGGAAACAAAAAAAGATAATTTGCTTTATCGACATGCACTTTAACATCGCAGTCATGTTGCAGGGACTATTCTGCAACTTTGCATTGTCTTATAAGGATTCTTGAGTGATTTTTCAAAAGCATAATTTCAACATTGAAAAAATAATTTTGTCCGTTTTTTTATATACCTGATGAATTCCTGAAGCTTTCAACACACTATTCAACAACAAGTACCTTCATTAAAAACATGTTTAACTGCTTCCACCTTTCCAGTGTATATGAACGAGTGAACGAGTGTACTTTTAGTAACTTTTCACTATTCATAAAACTCAAGTAAATGTTTCTTTAAACTCGGATTTAAGAAAGCTTCTTTGTTGCTAACAGACTTGATTCTGAAAGGGAATATTTATGTGTAATACTATTCATACAAATTCAGCAAAAATGAAAAGCTTATAAACTTTATTAAGAAAAGGGGTGTGTGGCTTTGATATGTAATTACACATTTAATTCAAATATGTTAATGCTATCAAATGCTATGGTGCGTCAGACTTCTCAAAAGTATATTCTTAATTTTAATGTTTAAATAATAATTGAAAATCAACTTTTTGAATGTTCATTTGGTTTTAATTCTCATAAGTATATTATCAAGTTATTTGAACCTTTAAACAGATCAACACAACTATATAAACTATATCCACATTTTATTTACAAGGAATATTTTTCTTCCTCAAGAAATACAGCTGTTACATATTTCACATTTTCAGAAGGTATAAAAGTATTCCACATATATATCAGTAATAAATAATTATGAAATAAACAGTGCAAAATGCATAAGTAGGTTATTTCTGGCTAATATACAAAAAGTAAAGTACGCATTTAATTCTCATTTAGAATTCATAGAAATACAGTTTGTTTCACAAAATAAATATCACATTTATCATTGAAGATTAGTTTCTGTTGTTTTTGGCATTTGTTCTTTGGCTTTTTTCTCAGCTTCTTGCTGCATGTTTTCTAACTTCTGTAATGTAACGGACTTCAGGGGTATAAGTTTTGGCTTACTTAGCACGAAAGATTGAAATTCTTGTTGGAAAAGTAAACCGGTGGTTGGCAATACCTCCCTCAAATTGTCATTTTTTTCTGCCATGGTGGAAATCTACAAGAGAGAAAATATATTGCAGTTCTATATGAGAAATGATTTAATAAAATATAATGATTCTAAATATATTATTTATAAATTTAATTTAACCATTTTATTGGACTGCAGATTCTGATATAATCCAAAAGTTAAAGAATACACTTGGGAGACAATAGCTACTGAAAATGTCTATAGCTATTAAGATTTTAAATATGTAGAAATAAAGTACACTCAATAAAAAAAATGTTTTAAGACTTTTAAATTTAGCACTACTAATCAATAACAGTATATTATAGCCCCATTCACAAGAGCAGATTTGATCGGTAGCAAAAACCGATTCTTCTAACGTGTCCCATTCACATAGCGAACAAGCATTAACTGCCTCGCCGAATTGGAGGTAGAAACTTTGTAAAATGTTCCTACCTGTCACTGGAGCAAGGCAAATGGGGACATTTCCCATACTGCACTGTGCTGTTCACTTAATTTTAACGACATGGCTGACCTGCAACTGATTGCTCGCCGGAGTGCCAGTGAAACAATCGTGTTGATAGATATCTGGGAATGCAATATCATCTAAAAAAATTAAATGGAACCGTACGAAATACAGAAATTTGTAAACAAGTACAGACAAGGTTATCTGATGCTGGGTATTCCAGAAATACCACTCAAATTAAAACTAAAGATGAGCATATTGTCTAAAAAGGGAACAATTTGTCCTGAAGAAACATTAATTTCATTTTTGCGTTGAAAACTATAAACGGCGAATCACTTTTCAAATTATTGCCACAAAATATTATTTCCTTGTATTATATTTAAAGAAATTAAATAACGAAGAATCTGCATAAATGTACGTATGTATGTTTCTCGCATTGTAGTAACACAAGGGTACATAGAGCTATCCAATTTTGAATAAGGTGTGTTTTCACCCGAATATGGGCATCTGGGAGCCCAAATTTCGAATTTGTTTCATTAACTACTTCATATTTTGTAAAACTTTCAGGAATTTTTGAATAACAAACTCAATGATTTCAAATCGAGCAATGGCAGCACTTAAAAAAAAAAAAAATCCCTTATCTCCAGTGCGTCCAGAAGGACTATTCATTTCATTCTGGCATTTTGGGTTGGTTTACTATAAATGTCTGTTCACCTTTCAAATTGTTGCGGCCAAATATTAGAGACCTGTTTTATGGTAGAAACTGCATGAATGTATGTATGTTTCTTGTAATGTGATAAAACAATGGTACCTACAGCTATTAAAATTTGAATAACGTAATCTTCCATAGAATATGGGCACGTGCAAGCCCTAATTAGAATTTGAAACTTGTTTTATTACCAATTTCATATTTTCTAACACTTCAACGAATTTTTGATTAAAAAAACTAATCAATTTCAAAGCAAGCAATGGCAACACTGTACAAAAAAAAAAAAAAAAAAAAAAAAAAAAAAAAACCCACACATTTTTATCTCCAGCGTGCGAGGCTCTGTATCGGAAATTCTAAAGATACACTCATTCAAAAATTGTTTTGCGATATTGCTGTTGAAAAGAATTTTATGGTTTAAGTATGTAGAACATATTTAATAAATAAAGGTAACACACAAAATGTAAAAAAACGTCCCTTTGGGAGTATTTTAAAATCTGACACCTTTCAATTTTTTTAATACCTTTTTTTTTTTTTGCCAGTAATTTTTTATTTTTAACAATTAAAATGTCATTTCTTCTCTCAGTTTTCAATGTTTTTCCCCAAATTTTCGTACTGTATTTATTAGAGAGTTCTTAATAACTTTAAGGATCGATTTTGCAATTAATGAATTAGATTCTGAGAAAAAATAACATATTTTTATCTAAAATCTTTGAAACAAATATGATCTCATTTACATTTTCACTTCAAATAAATTTGCTTTTCAGTATTTTGAAAAACCCATCCTTGTTTCTATAAAATATATAGTTTTAAATAAGCGGTAAAAATATTAAATAATTTAGGCCATATCTATACAAGTTTTAGGACATTAAATAAAAGGATTTATCAAAAAAAAAAAAAAAAAAATGCAAACTGAGAAAATGCACTTTAAAGAATGTCAACTGCCTAAATCTTCATCAAGTCATTTCAAATTTCTGAATTTCAATACACATATATAAAAACTAGTGCTATTCAATTGGTTAATATGAAAGCTTTTATTTAAAAACATCGTAAAACATGTTCAAAACAATTTTAATGCATGAATTATATTTTCTAAAACGTTTATAATTAATGTAAATAATATTAATTTGCCGTTTTATTCATTTTTTCAAATATCAAAGTTTGAAATTTTAACAGCCAGAAAACATTTAAAACCGTTCAGCAGTATACGTGATTTCTTTTTTTAACCATTTGATCTCGTATATATATATTGCATTTTAAATTAATTTAGGTGTCTTTTAATTAATAAAAGAGTTAAACTTCGATAACTTCAATAGTAAACAATGCCAAAAAAGTTGTGAGCAGACGTTAGAAATCTGACAATCCAATTCGAGTTTGTGACATCATTCACTGCAGGCAGTGGCTTATGGGTTAAAGGATGGATGGAAGACGATGTGCATCTGAACGGGTCATGAAGGTGAAACTGCTTCGTATCCCCGTTTCTCCCTAATATAAATAGTGGCTGCACGAAAGAGCGTTGCATGTGAACATGGCTTATGAAATTGGAATAATTGGACATTAGTTTTAATGTTGTTTTGGTTGGGTAAAATGTGATATCTTTTTTGTTTAGTTATCTTATTTGCAAGTTGTTGCGCGTTCGTCTCTCTTGAATTAAAATAGAATTTTATTTCAACAGTGGATTAAATGTTTAATCCTCTGGCTGCTCATCCCACAATTTCCATGGGCAACTTAAATGTAGCAAAATCTGCTCATCCTGTGATTTCCGCGGGCATGTGTTGTTCTTCCTTTATTGAGGGGCGCATCGCGTTTTTTTTTAACATTTAACCATTGAAATAAATTATATACAGTATTAGATGTTTAGTTTACGTTGTGGCCAACAGATATAGTTAGCTGTCCACTAAACTGCAGCATTTGAAAGCACATGGTGTTTCCACTCAAACTTCATTTTTCTTACAGAAATGGCTGCTAAAAAACGTTCAGTGATTATCTTAATTATTTAATTAAATTATTAATTTAATTTATTGAGTCTGGTGCAAAGACTGTGAAGTTGGACTTGAACCCTGTTTTCAACTCTTATCATACTAAACTGCATTTCTACGGTATTTTTCCCCCTCGGTGCTTCATATTTTCTTAAATTTTATACATTTTACTTTTTTATATTATGCAATAAATATAATTAACTGTAATTCGACTGAATTTA